ATAAATAAATACTGAAAACACTGGAAAGACAATTTATAATATTCATTTAACCATCTTCCTACCACATTAAAGTCATGTTAAACAGATTTCAGTTTAAATATCACATACCTCTTGCTTTCCGTAGTCTCTGTGGTTGAACCCTTTCCATTGTGGGAGCTGCAGGTGGATGCTTCTCGTCCCATGTGTCCTTCGCTCTCCCTCTCGGCCGAGTCATTCCCACTGGAGTGGGCATCCGTGTCATCCGAGTGCGTCGGCTGGGGCACTCCCGAGATGTCCAGCCTGGGACAAACAGACTGGCTGTTGGTCATTCCAGGAGAAGCATTGCTGTAGGTTTCCCCTTCATCCTTATGTGCTGTTCCCTTCCCTGAATGAGTGCCGCACGTCACTGGTGTTTGGAAGTTATCATTACTCATCATGATGAAGCAGAATAACTATATATATCACATCTGTCTTGTGCATCTGTAAGGGACCTTCTGACACAGCAGGGCATGGGAACTCCTTGGTTATCCTGAATATCTGCTGTGCTAAAACACGGTCTTTGTCCGATTGTCCTGGATGTATCTGCTTAAAAGGCCTTAAAGTTGCAAACAGTCTGATGGGAAATAATAATAATAAAAACAGGATAAGCAACAATTGCCCATCTGGAGATATGAAGAGACATGAAACATTTCAAAGTGCACACAGAGGACAGTGAATACAGCAGTTCTGTCACACAGGGTTGCATTTTAATCATGGCCTATAATGACATTAAAGAACCACACTGATGTATTTACATTCACTTGTTTTAATACAGTCATTATGATACAGTTGATGTTTAGAGCCATGTACACATTTTAAAGTGGGAGGGTCACTGAAATATTTAAATTAATACAAAAAAAAAGTATAGTATATATAAATATAGTGTATATATATATATATATATATATATAGGAAGATGTGACTGAGCTGTTTTCAACTTTTCAACATGAAACTGAAATATTGTAATAACTCGATGTATTGTTTTTTTTTTCTGCTTTCATCAGTTTTTCTTACCCTGACAAGTTATCAGGGTAAGAAAAACAGGTGAAAACAGTATTAAAAAATAAATAAAACAAAAATAATCTTCTCATTAGTTTGGATACTCACTAGTCTAGTCGTTTGCCTAAAATCTGATTATAATAGCAGTGCATTCAGTTTTAGATGAATGCGAGCCCTCTATCTTGTAGACCTGTAGAATTACTGACTTCATACAAACATTGAAAATGTGATGTATTTTGAAACATTCACATTACATCTGTCAAACAGACAACCAAGTTATTGTCAAAAAAATATACTGGAATATAATACAGGCAAAGGACGATGCAAATGGCATTATATACAATGGTCATCCAGCACATCCCAAAATTACCATATAATATTTTACCAGTGATCAGAGATCCGTAGTGAAATAACAACAATATAGACTAAAAGCTAAATGCTTAAAGCATTTTCATTGACAAATACAGATTCAAATGGCATTGATACATACGATGCAAGACTATGATAGCAGTGATCCAACTATTAGGACAGCTTTTCTCACCTTATAAAAATATCCCAGCTGCTTCAAAGTGAAGTTTAGCCTGCTTTTCAGACCTTGCATACAGATCGACGCATATGTGCAACACTGTAGTTCAGTACTGTAACTCGGGTCGTGTCTGATACTAACCCGTGTACAGACACCATCATCATTCTTGCTTTGGGAACAAATATCACGTGTAACCAGCAACTCCCGAAACCGTCTCTCATTGGCTCCTAACATGCCATTACCCCGCCTACCACGCATAAACCCCGCCCATCAACGAGAAACTCGCGCTGCTATTGGACACGTGGGCGGGGCTATGAATGTACGACGCTCCTTTGTCACGTTGTTGCAAGCAAAGGCTCCATCTGAACTGTATGGACGTGAGGGAACATCGAGACCTCCAAACCGTATTACCTGCTATAGAGGCGCATAATGTATTTTTGCTTATACCATACAAGACTAATACACTGAGATTTTTTAAATAAAAGTCAAATAAATAGGGCTATGATTCTGAGAATAATTACGCGTGCATCGTTAAAATGCTACCGTTTGTAACTGCACGTCTTTTTTTGGTGGTTACGCCTTCAGCGCACTCGGACTATTGGGAGTCGCTCCGTTCCTCGTGTTTGTGCGCACAAAGCGTGTCCGTCCACTTGCCGCTGACACACGAGGGCCATGCCAGTTATAACTGTGCAAAATCTCCGTCTCATATTCCCTTCGTTTGCTGCTCAAATACACGGTGCAAGCAGATCACAGCTGGACACATTTGTGGACGAAGTGTGTTTATCTTTGAGAGCTTTGAACACACGGCAACCGTACTTGCGAGGATGTTATTATTTAGAAAAGTAAATTATTATTTTTAATTAATAATTTCACGTTTGGTCAGTGTTTAGGCTTACTTAATAGCCTTTGACATCCCTTTCAAAAATGGAGGGCAGTGCCATACTTTTATAATAGTGGCATCAGATGGTAATAGCATGGCACAAGATAATAGTCAGCGGTCATAAACCCTGACCAAGTGATAACTTTTTTTAATCACCCTGAAGATGGTATTTTATGATAATAAACAGCTGACTGTACATATCCCTGCAGTGTTCCAATTGTGTCAAAGCTCTTGGGGGGGTCCCCCTAACCAGCCCCCCCTCACAATAATAAAAAATAAAACTCTATATACATATGATGCATATTTTTTGTCTTGTCCTCGTTATCATTGAGAACCTAATTCTAAGATAAAAGAGTATTTTACGATGATCAGTGAACAATCACTAAGCAAAGAAGAATTAAATATCTAGCCTAGGGGTGTGCGATGTTAACAAAAAATGATATCTCTATATTTTATGGGACTTTATCGATAACGATCGATAATCAGACAATATTTTGCTGAGTGTGTTGCGCTGCAGGACTGCCATGGACAGCTGATTCTGTGTGGTGGTCAGTTCACAGCAGACAGAAATTAATCTTTTTTTTTTACCCTTTATGGGCATTTTTACCTTTGTAAAGCCATTTTTTCTCAATAAAGTCATCAATATAGTCAATTACAATAATAAGTAACTTGGGGCTGTTACCAACAAATAAAATCATTATCAACAAAATTCATGCAATGCAGAGGAAACACAGAAGCTACATCTGAAGTGGCATTTAGATGCATATACACAGTTTAATGCAAGGCATGAATGCTTTAACCTGCAGTTACAAATGCATAAATAATGTTTTGATATTTTAATCTTAAAACGTTGAATAATACTGATATTTGAAATGATTTAAAAAATATATAAAAAGGTACTTTAAAATGTGAAATTAAAACCGCCAGTATGTGGCAGCAAGTCACTGTTAATTAGTGAGTCATTGCAATTGAACAGCATCTTTTAAATGGTTGATTCATTCAGGAACAGAAACACTGTCATGTTTTTCAGAGACGCAAAACAGTGCTGTGGCTTTGTTTGGAACCATTTTTGTTGGCAAAATAGAGCAAAAAATAGGCAATATGGTGTCTAAAACGTAAGTCTCTTAATATTAACTTCTTGTTAATTGAACTGTTGTGTAAAATCAATATCACATTTGTGATTTTTGCGCAAAAAATGGCACTCTTCGTGTGATATTGATCAACTAAATGAAATGATATAAATATATACATTTTCTGCCCCCATATCTTGAATTTTGGGAGCATTCTAAATGCATTTTATTATACTGAATCAAGCAGTGAAAGAACACACTCTAAATGAGCATTCAGTCTAGCTAGTGTTTAATAAGCACTCATAATTCCTCTTATAATCAATGAAGCTGTGCATACACGGTATGATAAATGAATCTCTAACTTACATCGTACTTACATCTGCACTTTGTTGCTTATGATGATGGAATTCGCCAGTTTCAGTCTGAACAAAACTCTGGGGTTTCAGCAATGACTAATCTGAACGCCTCTGATTGGCTACTGCATTCCTAAACTCAACAGAATCATGTGTGATTGGTTATAATGAGCAACGCTGTAAAAATGCGTAAAAATTAAATATGACATATTTAACATAAGCAGGTCAAAATTTAATACAGCAACCGAAACTTCATTTTAATTATTAAAGTTTTATTGAAAAACCAGGGGGACCCCCCCAAGTATATTTTTTTGGGTGTTATGGGGGGTCCCTTAATGCTTATGGGATGTCCGGGACCCCCCCAAATATTTTTTTGGTCATATTTTTCTTACTTTTTATTTTATAATTATGATTTGCCAAGGCATACACAATTACTGGAAATATTGTGTCTTAAGTTAATGCTCAATATGAACTTATTGTTTATTGGAGTGTTTTATAAAAGCATTATCATACAGTAATTCTGTTCTGACTGCATACTCATGTAACTTAATGTACTTCTACCATAGAACATGTTTAGGTAACCATGGTATTACAGGTACCAAAGATACTCGTTGGTAACTTTTTGTTAGTTAGTTTATGAAATAGTGACGCATAGTGAATAATTACTTAAAATATTTACTTACTGAAAAAAAAATAGTATTATTTTTACTGTATAAACATTTTACCTTAGGATTCATTCTGTGTAAAAATCTTCTCCAAATGCTGGAGCTGGCCTTGTTTTATAAAGGACTCCTAAAAAAAAGACAGCTTATATGTTCTTAAATACACAATCTTAATACATAAAATTAAGAAATAAATTGATATTTTATATCAAATAGTTTATTTGAAAAAATCCACACAGACACATTTTTATTATATATTTATTTTTTATGTTGTCATTGTTTTCAAACACACACACACATTTTAATTTCTAACTCGGAACAATAAACACAGGTCATCATAACTGTCATTTTTTTGCAATATATTTATATATATATATATATTTTCCCAAGATGTTCATCCATATAATAGACATTGACAGATTTACACTACAATTGATTTCATGTATGTCTGGTTGCCAAAAAGGTTCCCTGTTACAATGTAATTCGTTCTGTTTTAATATGTAGTCCACTATAACTTATGACACAAATAAATAAAAAATAAAATAAAATAACAACATAAAATAAAACTGTGAAGACCGCATTACCCATGATCCTCCAGCCTAGTCCCTCCAAAAAGGCCAGACAAACAGGGTTAATGCTAATCCTCAACCTTTCCTTTCCAAATGAACCTCCATAAATCAAATAAATACACAAATGAAGCACAAATTGTTATTAATACAGCAACTTGGCTCTTGGTTCGATGCATTTCTAGACCTCCATGAAGCTCTATGGTATCAGCTCCTTAAATTCTGCTTGTTTATACTGTTTATTCAGTCCCAAAAACCTTCAACAACGAATCAAACTGTTTTATAACGCCATGGCAACCAATTGAAATTGATTTCAAGTCTGTACAAGCTTTCTGAAAAAAACTTTTGACACGCTAACCTTTAATAAGGCAGGGTTCATTTTCCAGTATTACTTTGATATCTTAGGTCACCGTTCTTATATTTCAACTTAAATTATAAAAAAAAATCACCCTCTCCTAACTAAGCACAATGAAGCTGTGCCACAGAGCACCACTGTGAAGCCTTAACTAATTTCTACTTAAAATAAAGTAAACAACTGAAGACTAAACAACTGTATGACGTGAGCAATGGAGAAATCACTGTGGCTTTGAGCCAGTAAAGTTCTGTGTCTTCATTGGTTCCCTCCCAATAAAGAAGACGCAGCATCTTTAACAGGCTGGCGTGACAAAACTACTCCCACCGTCCCTCTCGACCCACGCGGTTTTGAACAAAACATACAGTAAGTGCCAAGACAAAAGAAAATGTCTTCATACACTCACACAAAGAAAAACAGAAAAGCACATACATTATTTGTAGTAGTCCCCTATTAGAATCCTTTCAATATGTGAAGCGTCTTAAACTCTTTTTGATTAATTTGTCACGTTTGAGTCCTACCCCAATGCATGATGTTTATTAGTTAGTTATAGACTCCTTTAAAATGTTGACAACCCCTTGGAGAGAATTCTTATATTTGCCTAATATAATAAATAGTTTATCTATTTTAATATGATCAACATCTTATTCTAATTCCAGATTGCTTATGCCTTAAATGTAAAATCTAAAAAAAGGACCCCCTTCCTCCAAATGAAGCCCACACTACAACAATACAGATTTGTTGTCTTTTTTCTTCTTTAAACAGCTACAAAGAAATAGTTCCATGTTTTATGTTCAGCATTAAAGATACAGACCTAAACGAGAAGTTGTGCTATTATTGTTTAGATATCAGGCCTGGGGATGCGTCCATCAGATTGTGGTTTCAAATTCCTTATCCTGTTAGCAATCACCTCCACTAAATATTCAAGTACAATAAACATAGACCTGAAGAGAGATGGGCGATTTCTTGTTTCCTTTTGCTGGATGAGAGCTTTTAAAAACCAGAGATCTGGGGAAATGTTGTCCCTTAAACTGTTTTTGATGGCAGTTGGCAGTATAAGCAAGATATAATATGGTCTTTGGTCATTTTTCATTAAATAAGCTCAATGTGAGTGGGACAAAGGAGAGAAGGAGCATGCAGGGATGGGGAAAAAATGAAATTAACTAAGGCAATCTCCTTTTAAAGAAGGAAAAAATGAATGAAATGAAAATTATTAGCGTTCAAAGTATTACAGTTCGTTCTGCTCCAAACATTAAGCTTTTCTTAATATGGAACAACACACCAGTGGAATAATGTATATAGCCACGCCCCCTTAACAGCTCCGCCCCCTGTCACAATCAATCAGCTAATCTATGCCCTCCCCCTTGTTTATGCAAGCAGGTTGCCACGGGAACAGCCTTTCTTTACCTGCATAGGTCTAAGCAGCCTAATCTGTCAGGATGAAGCCGAAATACTCCACACACACACACTACGACGGGTGGCTAGAAACCGAATCATGTGTGAAAGAACATGGCGCTAAATTGGAAACGTGAAGGGGAGGAGGGGGGTGTTCACGTGCAGACGCACACTTCACGCCTGGCTCGCTTTTTGTCGACAGATTGGGTTGGATGAGGCTGATGGGTGATGCTGATGGAGGCGAATATACGCACAAGAGCAAACCAGGAAGAGCACTGTGGAAAAAAACAAGACAACAAGAAAAAAAAACTTCCCCTCAGGTGCTTGGCAGTGTGTAATCTACAGCTGAACTCAACAAACAGGCACACAGAGAGGTGGATAATAGCGAGGGACACAAAGGTGCTCGCTGTGCACATGGCACCAGCGTCAAGTCCTGAAACGACGTGCTCCCTTTCCTGCCTGCTTCGCACACAAAAATACAATAGAATCTATATCTAAAATTAAAAGAAAGACTAAATTAAAGGCAGTATCTAGATTTAAGAGAGCGAACCACAGCTGTCAAAACTACCTCACACTGAAGTATCAACCTGTGTGCTTTCAGACGGATGAACTCGTGTATCGGTTTGGCAGTAGTTCTGCTGCAAGGAAGTAACACAGCACCCGCAGTCTAACCAGTTAAAACGCGCCATCAAAAACAAGCTTTTTGTGCATGATACTATTTCCCCTTTTCGGCCTTGAATCTCTCTGGGCTTCAAAATCTTTACCAGCAGAATGAATCAGTTCGCAGTTGCAGTTCGAATAGCACTAACGCTTTCAAGTCTTTTCACTTACAGCGCAATTGACCCATGTGCGATTAATTACTTCGCTATCCCTGTCAAAACCTAGTTTGACTGCGTTACAACAAGTACTCGAGGTGGTTTAAGACCTATTTTGGAATTCTTTAAGATAAATACACTTACTTTGTTTGATAGACAGCATAATTCTACACTGCTATTAAGGAATGTTTAAGAGATAAGACACTAAAGACATTAAATTAAGATAAGCATCTACAGTCATTGGTCCAGTCTGTTGTGGCAGTTCACTAAGAGTAAGTACTGTTGGTGAGAGAGAGAGAGAAAGAAAGAAAGAAAGAAAGAAAGTGAAAGGGGGTTGAGGGGGCAATGTGTAGGACTGAAATAGAGTGCATGTGACAAAGAACAAATTGGGGATATTGATTTAGTACCTCAGTTAAGGGAGTCTATCGCTTGTGCAAAAATACACCAATACTCAGTGAGCAAGAAAGAGTGAAATAGAGCATGCAAGATACAAACACCCAGATTAAGAGGCAGTAGTTTAAACCTGAAGCAAAATAAATCTTTCAAAACTTAAAAAAAATATACAAATGCACACTCACACACAAACTACAAAAACCATTATATCAGAATAAAACTCTACAAAGAACATTTGGAATATATACTGTATAATCTTATCATATTCTAAGGGTTGTGATTTCTTTTTTATCGGTTGTCACAAGTAATCAGGAGTTTGGAGTATGAACAGTATTTCCGAAAAGCCGGAGGTATTTACAGAGGAGACATGGCCACACACTCACGGACAGGATGAACGAGGAGTTACAGGGGCCCAGCTGTGAGGCAGAGGAGGCAGGGGGCAAGGGGGCTCGGGAAGGGCCGGATTTAGACTCTTTGAGGGCAAATAAATCGATTGTTGTGAGAAGTCGTTTTTCTCATCTTTGTTTGGGAGGGATTTTTCTGTGGCTTGGAATTGGGCATTCATGAGCTCAGAGTGGGGTAGGAACGTCACGCATTAGGTGCTGAAGTACACTGTGAAGAGAAGCAGATCAGATTTATCGTCAACATTCGAGAAACTGTACGTAATATGAAATATGATCTTATAACGAGTTACTCTAAGTATTTTCTACTTTTCAAGTATTTGCCACCTTTTCACTATCCAAGACAAAGGAAAGACCGGAAGTCATTTATTCCTAATGGAGAGTAGTATGGGAGTGGCGTGGCGTTTGATCATATGTGTATGCTGAATTTTCTGATATAATTTGAGCTTTGGAAACACTAAAATATTTGATGTTTTGCAGCTAGGCCATATGCAACTGCCACAGCATCAGATTAGTGGAGATGCAAGTGAAATGTATAATATTTTCCAACCTGTAAAATGGGCAGTTATGAATAATTAAGTCAGAAATGAACTTATAATTGTTTATTTACATTGATTAGAAAAAATACTTTTTTTCAAACATGTTGGCTGTAATTTGTTTTGTGTGGATATATTCACACTCATACAATGGTGAATAAGATCGGTATAACAGCGGATTTTTTTAACATTCCATGTGACTGCCACTAGGGGGCAAAATGTGACGATTGTACCAAGTATTGTATGAGAATATCGGATAGTGGAAAGGCTGTTTTAATTTTAAAGGAAAATTCCGTGTTCAACATGCAATTTTCGCTCAAAATTTTGTACGTCAGTTTGTGAAATCAAACACAAATACCAAGTTGACTGTAAAGAGTGATTAAAGGACAAGTTTACAGATTTTCAACCAACTTTGTATTTTTACTATGTGTACTATTTCTTCATGTTACCTGCACTCAGATCTCCCGGTTTACTGGTCAGCTAAAATCCGCTGGATGGCACAAAATGCTACATCTTTTGACAGCTCCAGGGCTTTAGTTAAAACTACAGATTTATACATTTTTATATCCCCACCTACAAACAGCCCAGTGCAGCATGGGTGTTGAAGCTCCCTACCTTTTTAGCACACAGCCCTCTTTCTATGTTTTTGCTAGTCATGTAGCACTGATTATAAAAAAATGCCTTTCTACGGCATAGACAGCCAAGTTTTATCTTGCCAGAGGCAAATTACCCATTTAAAACTGAATTTCCTTTTACAAACAAATCATTTCTACGGTGATGTCTTCGGTTCACTTAGTTTTGTCGTGGCCACGACATAATAACTCGTGGGAACGTGATCTTATGTCGTGGTCTCGAGATGCTATGTTGAGGGAACAACATCCATTTCTTGTGGCCATGACTTCTTATGTTGAGGGAATGACATATTTTTCTCGTGGCCACGAGTTAATGTGTAAACAAACCTGCGTGACCATAGCAACCCGGGATTATCAGAGATGGATAAAACATTTTTCATTTTATATTTGTATATTAATATTATTATTAAATTAACTTGTTAGGGCTATATTTTTATATTTATTTCATAAATAAAATATTTTCTTATTTCCCCTTTCAATTCGTGTATCGCTTTACCTAATTAACGTTCTGTATAATTATGTTAGTATTTGCTAGTCTACCATATATTTTGCAAATACTGTAAACGCCTGACAATTATGCCAATACAGTTTTGACTTTATGATTGTATTCATGCCCGTGTGTGATAATAAATGAGCGTGTTGTGGTTTCATTTACAAATGAAACTACGTGAATGATTAATTCCTCAACGAAACACTATAATATTTATAATTATTAATTTGCAGAAATAAAATGAAATATATGTTAAATTCAACCTTTAAACTGCACTTCCAGTTGGCTATAAATTCCAGTCAGCATAATCAAAGCTTTACTGGCATATCGAGCATTTACAGTAGGCTATTATTTACAAAACGTTATGTAAAGAGATCGAAATGAAGGGAAAAACGAATATGCTATAAAAATATAATAGGCTAATAATAACAACAACAACAATAATATACAAATATTACGGAAAAAAGATGATCAGTTAATTAGGTACAAGACTGTGGGATGGATAAAAATGTTTTCTTGTAGGCCTATTTTATTTTATGTACTTTATGAAACATTTAGTCATGATAAACTTAATTCGAATGCTGTCTACATCGCTTGCAATAGCCTACAGTCCGGTAGCCTAAGCCTATGGTTAATATAATAATTAATAATTTCTTAATTCAAAACAAAACATTAATAAATCTATCTCCGATAATCCCGGGTTGCTATGGTCACGCAGGTTTGTTTATGCATTAAACTCGTAGCCACGATAAAAGGATGTTGTTCCCTCAACGTAGCATCTCGAGGCGACTTCACATCGCGTGGCCACGACATAAAGATGTCGTTACCTCGACAAAACGATCTCGTCCACGACAAAACTAAGTGAACCGAAGATGTCCCCTCCCGGTCACCGTACATTTCTGCATTTGAGATTCGAAAAATATTTTCCCCGTTGTTTTAACCCATAATATTCCTTTGAAAATCAATAAGAATATTGTCATTGCTTACCAATGATTATAATGAGGACAATCGCGCATATCACCCCCAGGATAATCATCATCTAAAGGAAAGAGGCAAAAAGAGGGAGAATGAGTTGAAAAGCAGTAAAAAGTAGACTATGAAGACCCAACATTCACACATTTGATCCAAAAATTTATTTTGAACTACTTTTTGTTTTGAGGATAGGAGGATTTTTTATATTATTGTAAAATATACAATTTTAAGCTGTGAATACAAATTTTAATTTTTGACTTCAATTTTTTTTAGATTTACTGTTAGCTGTTTGCTTGATTTAGATGTGTTGTTATGAAAAATCCATTGCCTTTTCAGCCTTACTCGAGGCACTTTTTGTGTTGTTTACCTTGGCATTCTTCCACCAGTATTTATTCTTGAGCTTGGCGGCACTGGTCTCAAATTGTGAGGCTCCAGCCTGCAGGGCATCAGCCCGATCATCCAGTTCTGACAGCTTCTGGTCCCTCTCCAGAACCTTGTCTACGTTCACACGCATAATGTCCACCACCTGAGAAAGGATGAAGGTGACTCTTAGTAAACTGTGTCATAAACGTGTCTTCTGAAAATGCACTTATAGATGAAAGAAGGCAAAGAAAACGGGCTCACTCACCTCATCCACCTGAGCCTGTGTCTGCTGTAAGCGACGGTTGCTGGTGAGGTTAGGGGGAGGCTGGTTACCTCCTTCTGGGGCACCGGCAGGGCCTGGGGCAGACCTGCAAACCAACATACAGGCTTTTGTCAAAACTTCAATATTACTGAGGTAATAGCAAGTCTACTTGCTAATGCCAATCTCAGCCACCAGAGGAAGACAAAACTCTGAATAAAGGTCACCTCTGAAGGATCCCTGGATATAATCCCTGTTTAGTAAGAAAGGAAATACTTTTTCCTACTGGGATCTCTTTTTTTATTTATTTATATATTTAAATGGAGTAAATGAGCTAGTAGTAAAGCTTACCATATTTTTATTCTTATTTACCAGCCTTTTTTCATTCTCATTTACTTCCGCTCCTTCTCATTTACAATAGTCTATATTTAGACATCAAGTCTTGGTTCCTCTCACCTTCACTGACATGAAAAAATTTATTTGCACTTTGCTTTGTGTGAAGTGTATAATTTTAATGGTACTTATAGCCAGAACATAATAGTCTCTATCTATCTATCTATCTATCATCCAAGCATAAGAAGCAGAAACAGGCTTTAAGAGGAAATACTAAATACTACTATTATTATCATCAAGACTAATGGCTGCACGGATGCTACATTTCTCATTTAAAGCAAAATGTGTGTCAGTTCATGAAAAGGAATTTGATTAAATGACACACCGAACATTTGTCCTGAGCTCTTACGGCCTGGTTATGCAAGGCTATTTTTCCGATGCTAACTGACAAATTCCAAATAAATGAATAAGAAAGCATCGTACATTTACTGCATTTTACGCTAATATGAGGTTAAATAAATTGTTTCTGGACTGTTCCTTACACACGACTGGTAAAGGCATCCCTTTACCCTTCATTAAGCATGTGTGTGTGTGTGTGTGTGTGTGTGTGTGTGTGTGTGTGTGTGTGTCTCTCTGTCATTGTTGCGTCACAATCAACATACATTTTATCAAATAACTGGACCAGATGTTTACATTTGTTACTAACTGATACAAATCTGTTTTTATGTAAGCTAGAACCTTAAAACAGCAGATTGGTCATGTCAAAATATCACACTCCAGGCCCAGTGATGCTTTAATATGAGTATACAATAGGGGAGGTAATATGGACATTATTGAAGCTGCGCGCCATTTGCAGCCTCGATTATTTAAACCAGTTAAACGAGCGTGTCTAGAAAATACTAGTATACACGGCCATCTTTCCTGCAGAGAAACACCTGCGCCCTTTGTGCCAGCCATTTGGCTTCAGTCTAACCAAATATCAATGAATATCAAGGCCTGGTTCCATAGAAACATGTTGAATGGGTTAGAGAATAATATAATTCGAAAATGTAACAAATTGCATCGCCCCCTTTAAATATATTATGTGGAAATACAGTGGGCCTTGGGCTATTTGAGACAAATCCCAGTGGGCTTTTGAATTGACATCGAAATTATCATAGGGACAGGGATGTTGGTGGACAAATATATCAATTGCAATAGCCTACATAATTTTAATTCATAAATTATTTTCATTCTAAAAAGCGCTCGACCAATTCCAGCCAAACCAGTCCAATCCGGTGTCTATGCGTGATTCTATCTCAGCTGCTCATACCAAACATGAGAATAAAGCGAAAAACATCTATATTATAAATAAACTCGTTCCCATACAGCAATTTACTGTATAGAAGCAAATTTTGTATGTCAGCGGTAGCAACTAAAATGGAAAAACATTGGCCATTAGGAGCCTATTTATAGACGATTATATAGCAGGTGCGCTCGTCAGAATTCAATGGAAATACGCAATAGATGTGGAATAATACGAATATACAATCAAATATAAACCTACGGTAATATGGAATAAGATTATTTTGTTCATACATATTCTTATTTGTAAACCACGTTCTATTAACAAGTGGCAGCAGCATCATAATAATCGAGCAAAGAAAGAGGTTCTAAACTAGATTACGAAAATTAATTTCAATTAAACCGTACTCACATTTTGAACCTGGTTTTGTGTGCGTCTACAATGTGTGGATGAACGCGCTGCTTCAGGCGTTTCTCCCCGTCTCCGGGATAAATAATGCACTCTCCAGGTTATTCCAGTAAAGCGGTATTCCTTAAAGGTTTGTATTTATTTATTTCCAGCGCCTCGCTATTATTGCCTTTATAAGAAGGGCGCTCTACCGCTACTCTCTTCTGTCACTATGAACACATAAAAAATAGATGTTCGGATTAGGCGAACAAAGATGGCTCGTTGACGTCACTCGTCATCCGGGAAGCTGCATGTTGGAAGCAGTGCAGTGACCATGAGAGACAGGAGATGGAGGACACATTGCTTGTTGACAGTGTGACAAGACGGGACAGGGCACGTTTAGGCTATCCGTGTGGAACACTTTCAACAGTATATGTAAGAGGACGTGGGATGGGGTTCATGGATTGTAGATTGTATTTGCACAACATGCCTTGTGGTTAATTTATTTATAAATAAGGATTGCTGAAACAAACAAAATGGCGGTCTATGAAGGGATGAATGGGCTTCCCAGGCTGCGTAAACACTTGTTAGTTATCATAATGGGAAATATGAAAACATTTAGATTTCTGGAGCAGTGTTATTGTAAAGCATCCTGACAGCACATGTGCCGACAATACAATTTCATAATACTTTTAGCACTAGACTAAGTAAATATTGTGTGTCTACTCATGTTGCCTTACGCGGTATACTTTGTAAGATGACATCAAAAGGTAATAGTACAAACGGAAAAAGTGTTTGGCAGCGGTGGGATTCGAACCCACGCCCCCGAAGAGACTGGAGCCTTAATCCAGCGCCTTAGACCGCTCGGCCACGCTACCGTTGGGAAGCAATTCACTCCTAGGAATCTAAAACTAACTCTTAAAACGCTTGTCATTTAGGTTTATATTCAGGCCATATTTAGGTTTATACATCATCTATAAAGAAAGTTGTATTATTTCATTATTTATTAAACCACTGAAGTTTTATTAATCACATATTTTATTATACTTATCATCAAAGTGACAAAACCGTTATATTTTAAAAAGAATAGAATATGTATTTAGAAAAATACACTTTTAGAGTTTAAGACATGATTACTTAAACCACTAGATGTCGCTATATGCATGTAGTATTCATATGGTTTTCATCAGATATCTCTGCCAAGAAAAACTTTACCATAACACAAAATGAATGCGACGTGTAAAACCACGAATTCAAGTGACGATGTTTAAACCTCAAAAATATTTTTTTACATAATGTAATGTAGCAGAACTGTGCTTCATACACCCACTTCAAAAAGTTTACTGATCAGTTCTGATAGGAGATTTTGTATTACCATTTCTAGAACAGTAATTTAATATTAGTCTAAATGGAATTCTTAACAGCAATTCGATGTAAATACGTGTTATTTACACGTTTTGCGAGTAAGCGAAATTCACAGCTTCCTCTGTGTGGGAACACTTAGCCCTTCCTCCTGACTCATATTAGCGGTTTTCTAAATAAATAAACGCATATTTTAGGTGTTTTTATAAAATATTTTTAATGAAAACCTGAAATGGGACTTATATCTGTATTAATTTTACGGTTACACGAATAAATAGCGAAAAGCCCATCGGTTTCAAAATCCACCAATGGGATCGCAGGAAACGCCAGCATGTTAGGTCTAAAAGAAACTGAATTTAAAATCTATAGTTTCACTTTTAAAAAACGCTAAAACGTTTCTCTTGTACTAGTCATTGAATGTATGACTACATACGTGATGTGTACTTTGAATTATTTTGAACGAGTTAGAATCACAACCATGATTGAAAATACTTGCGCGGTTTAACAAAACCTTTCCGAGACCTTGATTGAAGTACATTAGTAGGTTTATTGCTTATTTGTATACTTAGAAATGTGGTTTCTGAACGTGATGAGATGATTTTATGAATACGTGATTATAGACGGTATTCGTTCAGAGTTTGCAACACCTAAACAAATCTTGTCTGAATTTTGCGTGTTGATTGAACCTGGTGAATACAAGATATAGGACCTATCGATAGATTCCCTATTAACGGTTATTTCTATGGGTCGCCATATTGGAATGGTTAAAGCAGGTCTAGGAATACTCGAGAGCAAACAGACTGTAACCCTAGTTTTACGCATGTGTGAATATCTGTATCTGCAATAGACTTCAGATGATTTAGCAAAGGATGGAAAACCCGTTTTCTCTACACACACACAAAAAACTGTTTACCCACATTCAATGATCATTATGTGTATTCCAAAAAAATACTTTTAAAGAAAGAGCTCGCTGGCGCCGAGGCTTAGTTGGTTAAAGCGCCTGTTTAGTAAACAGGAGATCTTGGGTTCGAATCCCAGCGGTGCCTTTTGAGATTCGCAAATCGTGATTCTTGTATAAGTATGACTGATAAGAAACTAGATGAAGAGCTCAATAATGTTTTTTTTATGGATTTTGTGAAAAAGATGACCAGTTGCAAGTTACAAATTGGAAGCTATATTTTTGAAGACATATCTAAAGATAATAGCTAAAAATAAAAGTTGAAGTTCTGTGCTCTTTGATACATCCGGAAATTGAATGTTTTAGTGACGTGATAGTTTCTTAATTTAAAATAATTAGAAAACAGTTTTGGCAGCGGTGGGATTCGAACCCACGCCTCCAGGGAGACTGGAGCCTAAATCCAGCGCCTTAGACCGCTCGGCCACGCTACCCTATTCTGCCAGCAAAAAAATGCTATACAAATTAATACAGTGGTCAGTTACTGTGAGTTTGCGGACGAAATTATTTGCTTTTCAATAACCGTTTTCTTTAGATTACCTGATGGTGTCAGTGTGCCCACATACTTTCGATAAATTCGCATGAAACAATAATATGAATCAGATAAACAAACCAAAGTAGTTTTTATGTGACCATATCCTTTATTCTGGCCTCAAGATTTGTTTTGTTTAAAGAATACAAATCTACCCAGATAGCAAACTGACATAGAATAAACGTAGAATCGACGTTTCTCGTGGCGTCGAAACGACGTTGATCTCCGACGTCGATCCAGCATCGTTTTGCTCATCGGGGTAACGTTGATCCAACGTCAGGCACGCCATTCTAAACTAACGGAAAATCGAAGCAATTGGTTCCCTTACCTAACGCTGCATCGACGTTGATTTTCAGTTGGTTGAAACGACGTCACAGAATCAACATAACATCGATCTAATTGGTTTGCTTACCTAACGTTAAAACGATGTTGATTTCAGCTGGGTAAAATGACGTTACTATTAACATTTTTTAAAATCTCACATACTTAATACTAGATAAATTAGCCTGTATATGTAATAATTTATTAAACACACATCACATTCAGTCATAATTTCTTTATTATTTATACAATACAGTTTATACACACAGTTACAAATACATGTTTAGATCACAAACCTATATAAGTCTAGCAAAGAAAATGCATTTACACTCAAATACACACAAAGAGGTATAAAGTATATTATAGGCTAATATAAATAGTGTCAAGTAACAAATTAAAAGCTATATTCACTTAAGAATAAAAATATCATGTTATTACCAATGTGTTTCACTTTTATTTTCAGTGGGGCACAAAAG